GTATGTGGGATCCGAACCCTCGGGCGGGAGCGCCGCCGCGCTTCCCAAGCGGCGCACTATCCAGTGCGCCACCGGGCCGGCCCTCAGAGACCTTTCATACAGCTACATATTGCGTCCTGATCATGTGGAAGGAGGGTATTACTTTTCCTTTTATGTGGATGAGGAAACAGTGACCCAGAGAGTCATCAAGTGCCCAGGATCTCACTCCCTCCTGTAGATAATATCGTGGCAGATCCTGGCCTTGAACCAGGGTCTCTTGTGCTGAATACAGTGCTGTGTGCACCACCCGCACCTGCTCACCAGAGCTGGTGCTCACTCAGCTTTGGAAGAGACTTGGCACTGGCCTTCAGTGGGCGTCTGGCAGGTGCCCTCTGTCAGAAGGAGGACAGCAACCACGTTAACTCTCACAGTGCAGGGCTGGTTCAGACTCAGCACAGGGCGGTCCTTGGAGACGTACATGCTCCCCTACATCCACACAGCAGTTAGTCTGGTGGCCGTCATCGCTCTTGCCTGGTGCATAGTGCAGGCGGTGATTTATGCACTGTTGGGGTCACTCTTGTTCAGTGTTTGTTGCTTTAGTAGTTCACGTCTAAAGGTGAATTGCTGGTTCGTAATTTAGGGACATTATGTGGCTGGTTGAGGACAGTCCTGTATAATCACTTAAAGGATCAGCTTTTCTCACTATTATTTCATAGCCCAGATTGATCTTACCTCAACATGGGGCAGCAGCTTAAGGTTTTTCGGTCTACCTAACAACGGCCAGTTATTTGGGTTTAATTATTACCTGGTGATGCTTCTTGACCTATGTTGGCCTGAGTTGCAGACAGCTGTTCTAGAATCCATATATGTCGGGCCTGCGGGATGTTAAGACGTGCTTTTCTGTTGTCTCTCGTGCTAGGGTATCTGGCTGTGGCCGCGGTTAGGAAATCAGAGGCTGACTTCACCTGGAACTCTCTGAAAGGCAGGAAGTCCTGCCATACCGCCGTGGGCAGGACTGCAGGCTGGAACATCCCCATAGGCCTGCTTTTCAACCAGACAGGCTCCTGCAAATTTGGTAAGGTGTCCAGAGGGTGTTGTGGTGGGTCATCTTGGAGGGGTAGGCACGTGGTGCTGTGGAAACTCAGAGAAGGGAGGGGCATGGGATTTGCAAGCTTACTGTAGCCCACAGGTCTCCCTGTGGCTGCCTCCTGGAATCGTGGATGCACTGGAGGTTCCCTGCACAAAGCTTCCCATGTCCCATCTGCCCTCTCCCAAGGTAGAAAATTAGAATATCAGCCTGTTTCTCTGAACCCTGAGATTGGGTGCAGGTACCAGGAGGTATGAATTTTTTTTTTTTTTTTTACCTCTTGGAGCTCCAGATCTAAATTCCTCATAGGCCCTGGCTTCCTACCTTGGGGAAAGATTCCTGCTTGCCTCGTGAAAGGTGACTTTTGTTACTAAACCGAACTGACTGCTTACTCTACACTGTAAAGGAAACTGCATAAGACCTCCAGGGCCTGGCTCTGCCTCCTTCTGGGGCCTTCTCTTCGTACCACCCTCCACACTCACCTTGGTCAGCACAACTGTGCCTTGCCTGCTGGGGGCCCGGTGACGTGGAGGTGTGTGGCAGGTTCTCGCCGTGGCTCACCTTGTGTGCAGGTGTTTCCTAGGGCAGGGCACTGCTGCATTACGAATGGGTTTTTGGTCCTGGCTGGGGCATCCATGTGGCTCTGCTCCTCTCTGGCAGTGCACATGGTTGCTGCTCTCACCAAGCCCCATGGTGGCCTCCAAGCTGCAGGGTGGCTGCTAGGTCATTGTAGAAACCTCCCGAAGTTGCACATAGTGTGGCTTTTCCAACGGCAGGGGCTGCAGGAGTCTGATGATGGATGACACTTGCTCAGTGGGCAGGGCTTTCATGTCACCTTCATTTCCTCTTTCCTTTGGTTAAATCACACGATGGGTTAATTCAGATTAGGTTCAGCTGCAAGGAGCAGAAACCCCCACAAATAGTAGAGGCTTAACCAAGAAGGAAGCTCATTTCCCTCAAATGTAAGTAAAGTCCAGAGGTGAGATATCCAGAGCTCACATGGTGACAATGTGGTCAGGGACCTGGGCTTCCAACATCTGGCCACTCTGCCATTTGTGGCTTCCATGCTCAAGATCTCCTCATGGCCCCCATCACACCTGGAGGTACAGTCCCTGCTTCTGCATTCCACATGGAGGATAAAGAAATGGGAGGAGAAGGAGGGGCCAAGGCATGTGCCAAATGTCTTTTAAGGATGTTTCTAAGAAGTTGGTACCCAACACTCCTGCTTCTGTTTCACCAGCTGGTACCTAGCCACATGGCTATACTGGCCAGGGGGCATCTGATAAGTGTAGTCTTTATATCAAGGAGCCAGGTTCCCTGGTAAAAAGCAGGGCTTCCATTACTGAGAAAAAGGGAGAATCGGATCCCAGCAGCCAGCAGGCCCTGCTAGAGATGGCCTTCATGCTCATCAGCTGAGTCCCCACCTCAAGGCTGTGATGATGGGACCCTGTGCATGCTCACAGCTCTCTTCTCCAGCCTCAGTCAGTTTTCCTGTCAGTGCCTGCTGCCTGAAGCTTTCCTGACTTCTGGTGGGTCCTGTGTTGGTTATAAAATGTCACTTTCTGTGGCAGTGAATGTGTTCTATCTGTCCTGGGCAATATAATGAACTGAAACCAAGCTGTGTCTCCTGTTAGGTAAAGGCCATTTACATTGACTCAGGTTGGAAGAGCTGACTTCCCATGTTCCTTCTGTTTAGGTGAATTCTTCAGTCAAAGCTGTGCCCCTGGGTCTGACCCAACTTCCAATCTCTGTGCTCTGTGTATTGGCAACGATGAGGGTAAGGATAAGTGTGTGCCCAACAGCAACGAGAGATATTATGGCTACACCGGGGCTTTCAGGTGAGTTTGTGACCAAGCATCAGCATGTTGGCACTGCAGGTCTAAGGGACCAGATGTGGCCTGTCACAGCAGAGCCAGGTTTCACCCTGAGGGTCTGCTAATGGGCGGCACCAGTGAGGGCTCTCTCCACTACACCCACCACCCAGATGGAGGCTGTCACTGCGGCTCTGCTGTGGTCCTCCCTGTGGCTTTAAACCAAAGTTGACCTTAGTGGGTGTCAACATCCTCATCCTCAAAATCAAGTGGGTAGCATATGTGCTATTCTAAGTACTTTCTACAATTCAGTCTAACTTTAAACCAAAGTTGACCTTAGTGGGTGTCAACATCCTCATCCTCAAAATCAAGTGGGTAGCGTATGTGCTATTCTAAGTACTTTCTACAATTCAGTCTAATAGGGAGGAATTTTCTTTCCCATAGCCACCATCCTCTCCCCTCACCGAGGTCACCATTATGTCTTAACGCTTTCACTTTTCTCTTTGACTTTGGCCTTAGAAATGGCAAAGAGAAAGCAGTATTACATTGTTATTCTCCAGTAGTGAAGTGAAAAACAAACCCCCCAAAAGTTTTCAGAATTCACAAATTATTAGCACTTAGCGATTAATGATAACTATTCACAACGGGTTTGAAGGGTGCAGAGGATCTTCCCCCATTGCTTTTTCTCTGTTCGCCAAGAGCATATTTCACCACCAGAGGGTGTCATGTACCTGAGAAAGAGTATGTGGCCTTTGAGTTAAATATAAATTCAGTAGCCTTTGCTCCAGTGATGGGATGATACAAAAGTAGTTTTTGCTGTACTCTGAATGACTTGTAAAAACCCCAAAAATGTTTTGTGAATGTACAAAAATATCTCAAAGAGACTAAGGATTTGCAAATGGAAAAACTGGGATGTGATTCCACTCAAAAATGTTAAATAGACACATGTCTGATAAGAATCCAAAGGAATCTCGTGGTCCTATTTCTTTTTTCAGACCTGCAGCAAGGTATTACTCCACTGGAAACACCTACACTTTAGTATTCCTATTTATGTTAGAAGAAAATGCTTTGTCTTTTGTTCAAAGTATATCTAGAATCTAGACTGGGGAAATTTATAGCAAAATAGTTAGGAGCTGGAACCTGAAGTCTTATTCATCCCTATATTTCTAACATCTTTATACTGCTGGGTTCTTAATTTTTAACTTTCCGCTATTTTCTGCTGACTTTCTACTATGGAACAAGATCTAGCCTCTCCTACTGCCCCCTGAGCCTCTTCTGCCCCACAACCACAAACTTCACCTCTCTTTAACACCCATATTCAGAGCTTACATTGTTATGATGATGTGGGCATTATTCTCATATTAAATATGTGGCATAGCAAAATTGTATTTCCCTTATGGTACAAACTTTTTGTTTACTCTAGAGTTCATAGATATCTTATTTTTTGTTTGTCTAATTTTCCATGCTTTTTTAAAAAAATTAGTAATTTCAAAACTCTGCTAGCAGTGTAAATCTCCTAACAACAACAACAACAATAAAAACAACACACACACACACACACTGGTGCCTTCCCAGTTCCATCATCTACCTGGAAATGTTGCTCCTGCAGACTTCCATCCTCCTGCTCTAGTCCAGATTGGTTGTTCTCTGGTCACCTGCACGTCTGTTGTCCTGACATTTCCCTTGAACATCATTCTAGGACTTCCCTGTGTCTTACTTCATGTTAGATTGTCTGTTTTCTGGATCTCATAGCTTTTGCTTTCTTAGGTTTTATTGGAACAGAACACATCCTCCAGCAGCTTCTTGAGAAAGGGTGAATGGGAATTGCTATTTTTTGAGTATCTACATGGCTGAAAACATCTTTAGTCTACCTTTGAAATGATTTCATTTGGCCAGATAACTAAGTCTAGGTTGGAAAACATTTTTCCTAGAAATTTTGACAGGTTTTCTATATCTGGGAAATGGCAGCATTAGGCTATTTTGACCATCTCTCCCACTAAAAACAAGTAAGCATGCTGGATTAAGTACATACACATATGCATTCACACACACATGATCTTAAAAGCGTTTAATAGCAGACAAGATAATGAGGAATTATCAGACTAAAATCTGAGGGAGAATAGAAATTCAGAAAGAAAATGGAAACTCTTTGTTCGACAGACTTGCTTGACCCCAAGAGGTTACATACACCCTTAAGGTAAGACTGAACCAGAAGTAACTTCCATGCCCACTTCCAGGGCTTCACATTGCCCAGCTGTGAGGAAGACAGGAAGAACACCGTCCCTGAGAAATTGAAACCATGAGCCAATTCTTGCATGAATTTGTGATTCAAACTTGCGTCCCCTGGGATGGTTCAAAATTATCAGCTTACAAATATTTTTAAAAGTCGTCCCAGACTAATGATCCTTCTAGGATACCTGTCTGGAAGACAGCATCTTCAGATTAGTTTTCAAAGACTGCTCAAAAATATTCTTTAAATGACAATAAAAGGTGATTATAATAATTTTAACCAGTATACAGGAGAAAAAAGTCATCAGAAGCAAGATCCAACAAAAAAAAGTTAGCATTTTTAAAAAGGGGCAAATAAAACTTTTAGAAAGGAAAAATATACAGCAATTAAAATTAACTGTGCAATTGATGAGTTTAACAGATTAGACACAGCTAAAAAGAGAATTAATGAAGTGGAAGATATGTAAAAAAAAATATTCAGAATGTAACATAGAAAGAAGAAAGGATAAAAAATATGGCTAATTCAAAATTTTAGAAGCATTAATTCATTGTCTTCTAATTTCTAGAGTTGTTGAGAAATCAAGTAGTATTTTTGATTCCTAATTCTTTGTACATGAGTTTTTTCTTCTTGAAATCTTTTTGAGCTTTTTTTTTTATCTTTGGTGTTTAAAAACTTCATAATGTTATTTCTTTATGTCAGTCTTCTCCTAATTAATTAGATTGGGCACTTGGTGGACGCTTTTTGATTGGAAACTCAAGTTATTCAGCTCTGGGACATTTTCCTTTATTTTCTGTTTGATAATTTCCATCCTTCTATTTCTCTTTAAACTTTAATTCTTTAATTATAGATTCTTCTGGATTATCCTCTGATTTCCTTATTGTTTATTTTTTATTACTGTTTTTTATCTTCTAGTTTCTGAGATACTTGCTCAGTTTAGTCTTCTAATCTTATATCATTTAAAATAATTTTTATAATTATTATTTTTTACTTTCTAAGAAGTATTTTTGTATTTTGGCTGTTTTTCTTTTGTAGAGCTTCCTGTTCTTGTTTCATGAATGCTGCACTTTCTTTAATCTCTTTAATGATATTAATTGTAGCATTTTTTTGTATTTTAAAGTTTTATTTTCTCCCATTTATTGTCTCTGTATCCTTTGAGTGTAATTGTTTTGACCTCCATTTTTTATGTTTTTTCTTGAAGTACCTGATGGTCTCTGGCTGTCCATATTTAAGAGTGAAGTGTTAAAAAAAAAAAAAAAAAGAGTGCACTGGAGGTGACCGTTAGCTCTGTGTCAGTTTCCAAGTCTTGGCAAGTACCGGGCCTCATTGTAGGTCAGTTGGTCTGTGTCATTTCATACTGGGCATCCAAATAACAGAAACTGTAGGTATTTTTCTTGAGTTGAACAAATTCCCAGAGGAGAAATCCTGCTGTCTGCTTCTTGAGAGGTGTAGTCCTGACAGCCAGCTTTCTGGAAGCTGAATGGGGGAATGGTGCTGTGATTTAGCCTTCCTGGATGTAGACTTTTCACTCCATTCTCTGTTTTCAATGTTGTGCCTCTGTCCTCAGCTGTGTTCTGTTCTGTAGCCCATAGTGTTGTTCAGGTTCAACCTCCCCAGTAGACAAACCTTAACTGTTCTGCCAGGGTGAGGGAGGAGCAGTTTCCCAGCTGTAAGAGATATGAGGGGACTACACTGCATCTTATTTAGGCTCTGCCCAGTGTTCTTGTTCTCAGCCACTTTCGATGGTGCCTAGTACCTCTGATGACTGAGCATTTCTGGAGCTCTACAGTGCTCATCAGCTTTCTTCTGTGCCTACTCTCCTTCCAGCTGCTGGTACAGCTCTCTTTGCTCTGTTAGGTCAATTACTGCCATCCGTTTGCTCTGTAACTTCCAAACATTATCATTATTATCTTCTCTCTCCCTTTCTCTCTTATGGATGAATGGCTTTTAAAAAAATCTCATCAATGTCACTTTATTGGGATTTTAGAAGGAGGGAACGTACACATATATGTTCAATCTACCATTTTAAACCATAAGTTCCTGCAAACATTTCTCTTTATCTGTCACATGTTTACTTCCATGTTTCAGCTTTTGGAATGCATATTACACATATTTATAAAAACTCTAATAATTTCTCTTCTCTGGTGATGTGTTTATTTTCTGGAACATTTTAGGTGCCTGGCTGACAAGGCTGGAGATGTTGCATTTTTGAAAGACGTCACTGTCGTGGAGAACACTGATGGTAGGTGAAGATGTTTCCCTTTCTCCTTCAAAGCAGAGTCTTTGGCATCACAACACATCCTGTATTCGCATTTCCAATTGGGAAGGTAGTATGACATTTTCCAGACTTTTGATTCTTTACCTCAGTTGGCAACATGGTACATCTGTAGTTATCACATTGATTTTGAAACTGAATTCTCTCTCTCTCTCTCTCTCTCACACACACACACACACACACACACACACACACACACACACACACACACACACACCTTCCAGCCACACACAGCAGCAAATGTCTCACTGGATTTGACTTGTCAACTACAGAAATACACCGTCTGCCTGCACCAGATCATGCATGCCTATAGGAAACTGAGTGTGGATGATACTAAAAAACAATATGCGAAGAAAGTTTCCCTTTTTATTTATTTATTTATTTATTATTATTATTATTTTTATTTTTATTTTGCCTTCTCCCATGCATCAGTAGCGGGAGGTTTAATAAAAATAGTAATGTAATAACAATAATAATGACCGTGATCCATAATAAAAAAGAAAGTTCCCCTTTTTAAAAAGGGAAGTAGAGGCCTTCATTCAGTCTCATGTGAGCCCTTGGTCTGGAAACTCCTTGGGAGTTAGTGGGGACAAAACCACAGTAGATGCAGATGATGGAAGACAATCTACCAGACAGTGTTTGAACAATCACTCTCTTTTCTGATCTCTAGATGAAAAAAATAGTTACTGAATTCAAGGCTCCTCAGCCATTTGCTACCTTCCAAACCACCTCTCTCCCCTCAGGCACCATTCCGCATCCCCACCCCCGGCTCAGCAGATGACTTGCTGTTTTGTCCCCTCAGAAAGAACTGCCTCAACTTTCTGCCCCCCTCCTCCAGTCACAGTCACTTCTGCCTTCTCTTCCTGCCCCTCCCCACGTCTCTCAGGAGAGGGATTAAGGCCAGACATGTAAATTTGGAATTACCTCTATATCAAGTAGAGGAAGACAAGAGAATGAATGACGTGTTTTCTTAAGGAGAGAGGGCAAAAAGAGACAAGCAGGGGCATGAACACACGTAGACGTGCAGTGATTACAGTTAGAATTTATGAACTGTTCAACCAAAGTGACCTCCAGGGATCAGACTGATGTCGCATTTAATCTTAACGTTCTCTGGTACTTTACAGCTCTATTTTACTGGAATTGACTAAACATATTTAATAAACCCATAGAAGTTCCTGTCCTTTCTGTGTTTACTAGGAGCATTTGAATATGAGAGGAAGGAGAAAACAATTTCTCCTGGAACATAAACCAGCTATCCTTTTTTTGGAACTCACTGGAAAATATGGCATAGGTGAAGGGTTTTGAATTTTAACAAATGTATTCTCTGCATCTATAAACATAATCATATGGCTTTTCTCCCTTTATCTATTAAATATAAGTATTTTTATATTTTCTAATAGTAAAACCATCTTTGCTTTCCTGGGTTAAAACTGTGTTGACTGTCTTGACCATGGTATATTTTTCCTTTAAATACACTATCAAATTTTTTAAAAAATTAAAAAAGAACTTTTAACAGATTTATTGAGATACAATTGACATTCTATAAGATCCACCCATTCAGAGTGTACAATTCAGTGGTCTCCAGCAGATTCACAGAGTCGTGCAACCACAAGCACAGCCCAGCTCTAGAACACTCACATCACCTCGTAAAGAATCCCTCCCCACTCCTTCAGCGCTGGCAGCTATCAATCCACTTTGTCTCTGTGGATTTGTCTGTTCTGGACATTTCACGTAAATGGAATCATATAATATGTGGTCTTTTCTGTCTGGATTCTTTGACTTAGCATCATGTTTTCGAAGTTCATTCATGTTGCACCATGTGTCAGAACTTCAGCCCTTTTATTGATGAATAATATTCCCTTGTGTAGACACAGCACTAATGCTTGATGTATTTGAAGTATGTATGGATTATGCAGGACAAAGCTTCATTCTCTCTCCGTTACATCAGCACAGCCTCATGTGTGCATTTTGAGAGGCCAGTGGGATGGTCACACCCACCCAGAACAGACCCCTTGTCTAAGCAGGGGAGAGTGGCTGATGCCAACTTCTTTCTCTCCCCAGGAAAGAACACTGAACCGTGGGCTAGGGATTTGAAACTAAAGGACTTTGAGCTTCTGTGCCTCGATGGCACTCGGAAGCCTGTGACTGAGGCTCGGAGCTGCCACCTGGCTGTGGCCCCAAATCATGCTGTGGTATCTCGGCAAGATAAGGTAGAACGCCTTGAACAGGTGCTGCTCCAACAACAGGTATGGACTGTCAGTGCCTCCAGCTCTTTCTTAACTGCGCAAGCTCCTGTGATGGGGAAATCACAGAGCTTGATGAATCAGCCCACTCATCCTTTCTTTCTAGTCCCTCTGCTTGAAGTTGGTGGTGACAGTATTAGCTTCATGCTGTGGTGCTGCCCAGAGTCTCAACAGAACAACACAGAGGCTTCCAACTCTGAGCTTTCAGGGATTGACTTAACTTCTGCCCTGAGTCTCTGTACCTCTGGGCTTGTTGTGTTCACTGCCTGGCTTGGTTACTGTCCTTTTCCCTCCTGTTATCCTCCAGGCAAGTGTGGGAAGTGATGGAGCCTTCCTCCCACAATGCCTCGGTAGAGAGTGCTTTATTCTGGTGATGTTTCCTGAGCCTGGGCTGACTGAATAATAAGGCCTCTGAAACCACAGACTCAGAACTTGTCCCATAGATTAGGGCTGTCTATGTGAAAGTGATTAGAAGGAAATCCTAAAATTTCATTAAAATCTGGGATTCTCTATTAGAACTTCTATTTTTACATTACAAAATCACGTTTCTAGGTGTGTTTTTGAAGACAATGGCCCTGGAATAATAATAACAGCCACAGTAACTGGCACTTGTTGAGCCCTTACTATGGCATGCTCACTGGTGCTGGTAAGAAATCTGCCATCATCGAGGTGTTGGCCTTCACAGCCCACCACACGGGAGCCCGGGTATGGACGAGGAGCTGTGGCTGAGAGAGGCGGAGGCACCTGCCTGGGATAGCCACTGGGTTTTCCTACTCAGGCTGCCCGTCTGAGAGAGCTGGCATTTTAGAATGTTCTAGGTGGTCAACTTTTGGGGGCAGATCTCAAAAATTCTCAGCTGTCCCCTAGTCACCCATGAGTTCTATGGCAAGAGGTCACAGATTTAGAAGGAAGGAAAGATGGCAGGAAATGAGATTAGAAATGGTGTGGAGCTCAGGGTGGGACTGTCCCCAGGAGGGTGGACAGGAGAAGAGTCAGCCAAGGAGGTGGAACATTCCAGAACTCAGCTCCTTTTGCCCCATGGTTTTCCCAGAACTGGTCCTGGATGGAAGAAACACCACTGGACTCTCTGCTCAGGGTGGGACTGTCCCCAGGAGGGTGGACAGGAGAAGAGTCAGCCAAGGAGGTGGAACGTTCCAGAACTCAGCTCCTTTTGCCCCATGGTTTTCCCAGAACTGGTCCTGGATGGAAGAAACACCACTGGACTCTCTTAATCCATAAACTCTGTGTTTTCCTTGCTATTCACTTACCGTCTGCCCTTTTGGCACAGGCCCTGTTTGGAAGAAATGGACCTGACTGCCCAGGGAAGTTTTGCTTGTTCCAGTCTGAAACCAAAAACCTTCTGTTCAATGACAACACTGAGTGTCTGGCCAGACTCCATGGAAAAACGACATATGAAAAATATTTGGGGCCACAGTATGTCACGGCTGTTGCTAATCTGAGACGGTGCTCAACCTCCCGTAAGTGGGCCTTAGAAGTCACCATGGGGGAAGGTCAAGGTTTGAGGGCCAAACAGCGTTCTAGGAATGAAGATGGGTGTAACGATGTTGAGGTATTATAATATCTCTATACTTCAGGAAATGGCAATCTCATTGATAAAGCAAAAGAATTAGAGAATAAAATAAAGCAGTATGTAATATGCTGCATTTTAATAATGCCAATAGTTACTATCATGAAAATTTTGGAAACAGATAATCCATTTTGTTTGGTAAAATGAAATGTGTATATATACATATGCATTGAGAAATAACAAAATCTGGTTTCTTGACAGTTACCATAGATACCAACCATAGAGAGTATAAATTCTCAAAAAATTCAAATGTAGGAAAACTTTTTAGCTATGAAAATGTATTAATTATAATTTAATTGTTTAAAAATATTTACAAGCTATTGCAGAGGGTTGTAAGGCCCCTGGTGATGATTCTCAAATTTCAGCCTGTACCGACTCCACTGTGCGCTGTGATCATCCAGATTCCTGCTCCTGATCCCTCCCCCAGAGATTCAGAGGCATTGGGGGTGCTATTGGTCCAGAAATGGGGGTAGAGCCAGGAATCTCTTTATCAGTGTTTATCAACTAGGGACATTTGGGTCGGTGTGTCTCCACTACCCACAGGAGACATTTGGCAATACCTGGAAGCATTTTTGATTTTCAAAACTTAGGGGGTGCTGCTGGTGTCAAGTGGGTAGAGGCCAGGGATGCTGCTAACAATGCACAGGACAGCCCCCCACAACAGAGTTATCAGGCCCCAAGTGTCAATAATGCCAAGGTTGAGAATCCCTGTTTTGTGGGCTGAGCCCGTGGCACACTCGGGAGAGTGCGGCACTGGGAGCGCAGCAGCGCTCCCACCATGGGTTCGGATCCTATATAGGGATGGCCGGGGCACTCACTGGCTAAGCACGGTACGGCCAATCTCACAAAAAGACCAAAAGAAAAAAAACCCACCATGGGTTCGGATCCTATATAGGGATGGCCGGGGCACTCACTGGCTAAGCACGGTATGGCCAATCTCACAAAAAGACCAAAAAAAAAGAAAAAAAAAGGAATCCCTGTTTTGTATTGACCAACATCTCAGGTCACTGCAGTACAGGCAAGGATCACACTTTGAGAAATAGGGCTATAGGACTACTCTTGTGAGCAGCCAGCTTAGGACTGCATAGACTATACGCCCCTTGTGGGCAGGGCCTGTCTGTCCATGCTGTGTCCCAGCACACTTAGCACAGTGACTCTCACAGTGCAGGCACTCAGCAAGCATTTGTAAACGAATGAGTGAATGAGTATATGAACAGATTTGCATGAAGATATATTAATTACCCACATTCCAGAAGAAGTTAGAGGACTACCAGTGTCTTGTTAACCTGAGAGCGTGACATTTGATTCAATAAGAGACAAGTGGGGTGGGGTGGTTGTGTCACTCAGGCCAGAGCAGGAAGTGCCCTGGCTGGTGAGGACCAGACGTGCCTGAGCTCCCTGGGACACTGCAGTTGCTAGGACTAGGGAGTCGGGGAAAATGTGAGTGTGACAAGTACTCACGGTGGTGGGGGGAAGGGCAGGGAAAACTCTTAGTATCCTCCTTCATTTATTTATCGATTTAAACATCAATTTGTTGGTTTAAAAAAAAAAAAGAAATCAGTGTTTGAATCTCCTGCTCTGTTGTGTCCCACAGCGCTCCTGGACGCCTGTGCTTTCCTCAGGAGGTAAAACCCAGGAAGATGGCCCAGCATCTCCATCCTGTCCCCATCCTGTCCCCCCGTCCTGTTCCTGAGGGAGCCTCAGCCACTCACTGCTCTCTGTTGCCTTCCCCTCCTTGCTGAGGGTGGGGCTTGCCAATCTCATTTGTTCTCACAATTACCTGCTGTCACCTTAACAAGAAATAAAATTAGAAATACTGTTGATTTTCTCTCCTTATAAAGCGTCGCTCATCTTTTCTGGAATTTTACACTGAAATCTTGTGTCTGAAGAAATAACCTGCACAGTCGGACGTTTCCTTCCAAGTTTTTCAGGTCCAGCTCCTCTTCTCTCCTGCAGTCTTGGGTATAATGCTCAATGATCTGTGATCTAAGGCCGGGCCAAGCAACTGTTTTTCCCACGGGATCTTGTTGGTTATTCACATAGTTGTCTCTGTGTGCATCCTGTCCCCCCGTCCTGTTCCGGAGGGAGCCTCAGCCACTCACTGCTCTCTGTTGCCTTCCCCTCCTTGCTGAGGGTGGGGCTTGCCAATCTCATTTGTTCTCAAAAATACCTGCTGTCACCTTAACAAGAAATAAAATTAGAAATGCTGTTGATTTTCTCTCCTTATAAAGCGTCGCTCATCTTTTCTGGAATTTTACACTGAAATCTTGTGTCTGAAGAAATAACCTGCACAGTCGGACGTTTCCTTCCAAGTTTTTCAGGTCCAGCTCCTCTTCTCTCCTGCAGTCTTGGGTATAATGCTCAATGATCTGCGATCTAAGGCCGGGCCAAGCAACTGTTTTTCCCACGGGATCTTGTTGGTTATTCACATAGTTGTCTCTGTGTGCACGTGTGTGCCTGGAAATGTGTGTGCGTGCATGTGTGTGTGCATGTGTGTTTGTGTGATTCTAAGCTAGGACAGGAATAGAGAGCATAGGAATCTCTGCTCTCTGTTGCCTTCCCCTCCTTGCTGAGGGTGGGGCTTGCCAATCTCATTTGTTCTCACAATTACCTGCTGTCACCTTAACAAGAAATAAAATTAGAAATGCTGTTGATTTTCTCTCCTTATAAAGCGTCGCTCATCTTTTCTGGAATTTTACACTGAAATCTTGTGTCTGAAGAAATAACCTGCACAGTCGGACGTTTCCTTCCAAGTTTTTCAGGTCCAGCTCCTCTTCTCTCCTGCAGTCTTGGGTATAATGCTCAATGATCTGTGATCTAAGGCCGGGCCAAGCAACTGTTTTTCCCACGGGATCTTGTTGGTTATTCACATAGTTGTCTCTGTGTGCACGTGTGTGCCTGGGAATGTGTGTGCGTGCATGTGTGTGTGCATGTGTGTTTGTGTGATTCTAAGCTAGGACAGGAATAGAGAGCATAGGAATCTAAAGATCAGTGAAAGAAACTGAATACCAGGAATATTTGTGATAACTTGGTATTTTAAATAAACGTCATCCGGTATGGTAGATGTACACATTAGGACAGGATAGGACAATGTGTGAAATTCTTCCATCCCTTGATCTTACTGGCCTTCAACTTCCAGTTAACCTCTAGTCCCTAGTTTTTTTTTTTACCCACTTTTCTCTACCAAGCTCTCCAAAGCATAGTTAGTCTAAGCTGGCTTTATTGACTTTCTTCCTTTTCGTTCTCTTTCTCCCACTGCAGTTGACTCTGATCTATTCACTCTCCAGATGTGTTCTGGAAAAGACTCCCACACCCTCCCAGGCGCTGTACTTGTAGGGGTTTCAGCTACGTCCCACTGGCCCCTTTGCTGTTTCTGATCCTGTTGACCAGGCACTCTGCCTAAAACCTGTTCTCTCAGCTTCCAAGACACCCTTCGCCTTTTCTGGCCTTCCTTTCTCCGCCTTTTTGGAGGTCCATGCTTTGATCTTTAAATGTGTCCCTCACTATTTTCTTCTCTGGAGTTTTGTTTCTGACTCATTGTATTGATGCAAGGGAAAGGGATTAAGAGAGAAGCAAATGACTGGGTTTTAGCTACTGATGCACAGAGTCCTCTCACCAGGTATCTATTCTCAGATTAGTGACCCTTCCCTGGGAAGGGATTGCTTTCCCGCTTTAAGTTTTTCTGTACAAGGGTACTGAAGTTCTCCCCCCATCGTGGGCGTGATCATTGGCCAGTGCTCACCGCCATCAGTGAGGTGGGCAGTACTGCTGCTGCCTGAAGCAGCCTCTGAATCTGTCAGGAAAGGACATTAATGAAGTCACCATAATACTAGGATGAAAACTCACTTCTGTTTTCTATGTGCTACTTTGAATTACGGCCAGATATGTTGTCCGTCCTCACCAGTCTGAGAAGATATTCAGTGAGCAGCATTCGATGGTGTAGCTATAATGCCAGCACTATAAAATGTAATATTTGAACAGTATAAATCTTCTTGTGTAGGTAAGATACTGAAGTGCAATTAAAGGCCCACCAGTGAATTCCCCTTTTCCTGGTTGAAATGAAATCTAATGTCACTGCAGCCATCTGCTCATGCTAAGTTATATTGCTGTTGCAAATGGACCCCAAATCGAACCCTTAGTGGCCTACACAACAAAGTTTTCTCTCTTGTCCAGCGTGGGTCAGTCATGGCTCTGTGGCTTATCTCCTATTCTGAGATCCAGGCTGAACCGCAGCCCCCATTTGGTGTATGTGGGGTTCAAGACAGGGGAAATGAAAGAAAGATGGAGGCACCATACGGTAGCTATTAAAGCTTCTGCTTGGGACAGGTCCTTTCATTTCCATCATTTCTTTGGCCAAAGCAAGTCACGTGACCGCCGGATCAAGGAGGTGGCCCAGTAGGAAGGAGTGGTGAATACTTTGGCAACAGCACACTCTACTTCCCTTGCATTTCTGCATCTGAGCAGTACTTTTAGTTATCTCAACCCCAAGGCTCTTTATGTCCCTCTTTTCTAAAGTTTAGTGGGGTCAACGGAATTCATGGGAATATCCATGATCATCAGGCCCATGCTCATGCAATGCAGAGTGTGAGCAAATCACCAGCCGCTGCACTGGCTGTGGGCTGTGAGCACCATGTCCCAAGGCGGGTGGTTACTAGTATTTGAGCAGAAATGAAAAGAATGTGAGAGGCTGTGTCTGAATTTTAGGGTAGAACTGGAGTCCATCTTTGAGTGGATTCTTTTGTTAGGAATGCACCTTGGGAGGCCACTTCAGTTAAGAACAGTGAGCTCTCTGCCCTGCAGATGAGAGTTCCCAGTCAAATAGAGCTTCCTTGCTCTGCTAATAACTAGGGAAACTTAGAGATGGCTGCAGGTGGGAAGAGGCACAGAGATGGTGGAAACACCTGCTCAGCGAGGGTGGGTGGCCCTGAAGGAGAAGGTCATCATGGAGACGATCCCTGCCCCTGAAGGCCAGGGAGCTTGATCATGGGTGGCCAGAACATCAACGACTGACCTTTGCTGGCTATCATGCACCTTTCTTTGGGGATTAAAAATGCAGAACAGGGGCCGGCCCAGTGGCGCACTGCTACAGTGCACCGCTTGGGAGCATGGCGGCGCTCCCGCCAAGGGTTCGGATCCCACATACAGACCGGTTCCACTCACTGGCTGAGCGAGGTGCGGCCGCAACACCGAGGGTTGCGATCCCGTTGCCGGTCCTGGTCCGGTCTGGGCACGACACTGAGGGTTGCGATCCGTTGCCGGACACGAAAAAAGACAAAAAAAAAAAATGAAAAAACAAAAAAAACCAAAAAAACGCAGAATGGTGTCTGCATGTGGGGGAGCACATGGGGAGAAGACAGCAGCCCCTGAGATGAGAGGGTGGCTAAGATGAGTAACTGACGGAGCAGCTGGGGTGTGGTGGTCAGAGAGGTCAGGGACAGTGAGCCCCTTGGGGTCTGTGGGAATTCTCAGGAAGGGCCTGAGCCTTCTGCAGTGCAGGAGATGGGCATCAAACGGGGCCAGCATGTGAACTTGGAGCAATCAAGAGAAGTGTTCCTCTGAAAGGGCTGCCAAGATTCTGTGCTTCTCATATCCTTGGGAGAGAAAACAAAACCAGAAACCGTATCCACGGTGAACTATCCCAGACAGTCATACTCACGAATCTTGCAGACTTTGGAATGTGCACAGAGTCCCGGGACTACCCAGTGCTGCTCTGCTCCTACTCCATGCTGTCTGTGTAGTTTGAGCCTCTGAACTGCCACGCAGTTTTCAGCCCCCAAATTCTTTCACCCTCACACTGAGTTGAGTGTGGACTATGTGGTGTCACTGCTTTCATGTCCTCACACCCCAGGTTTCCTACATTCGTGTCTCCAGGGAGAGCTCATGGCCTTGCATTCGACATGGTTCCCACTCACCTGCATTTTTCTCTATTTCCTGCCCCTTGGTGGGCCGCATGGCCATTGCAGTCTTGCTATGTGCAGTGGACCCTGGGACCCTTTGCCTTCAGAAACCCAAAATGAAACAATGCCTCCTCGGTCTATGGTTCTGTCTCAGGCCACTTGTCTAAAATGTTGAATTTTCTAGGACTTGACTGTGCTATTTTAACTGCAAAGCACAAAAACAAACATACATACCAAAGAGCCCCTTAACTTTCCATTTCCTCCTTGAATTGAGAGAGAGCCCGAGAGTGTCATTTCCTGTTCATTCTCCAGTATTTCAGATGATTAAACTTTGCAGATACATTTGCTCCTCTGCTCTCTGTCCCCCAGGTGCAGGGGGAGGACAGACACAGTGGGGAGGGTGCAGTGGGGAGGATGCTCCTCAGCTCTCTCTCCTCCTAGACCTCGCCTAAGGGGTCTTGAACAGACAACGCAGACACCCTCCGCAGACCCGCCCGATGGAGGCAGCATGGCTGAGCCTTTCCCAGCCCTGCCCTTCTCCAGGTCTTTGCCACCAGGAATGGTGGGTTAACACCACTTTACAGAACTACAAGAAGAAGGCCAAAACTGGCAGGTCAGGCCTCCGCTCTTCTCTGAGCCTGACCTTGCAAGAAAAGCTCGCCTTCCCTAAGTGGGATTAACCTTCTACATTTGTGAAGCGTCTTCAAGCACATTGAATAATGGGCCAGGACAGCTTCACAGAGAGAGACCCATGCACACGTGTGCCCACACACAGGACAGGGGCAGTGGGACAGACAGCGCAGGGAAAGCTGTGCAGAGCACTTCTTAGTGCCTGGTCAGTGAGCAGGCAGAGGATGGCCATGCCAGCCAATATGGCCTCTGTGCAAAGTCCTAGGGTGATGCCTCCTTCTG